CTCGAATCTGTGTGTATGTGTAGGAGTGGGACAACTACATAACTGATGATGATTGGCATGTGTGTTTATGTGTAGGGGTCGGACAACTACATAATTGATGAGGATTGGTGTGTGTGTGTATGAGTAGGGGTGGGACATACACAAAACTGATGATGATTGGTGTGTGTGTCTTGGGGTGGTACAACCACATATCTGATAATTATTGGCATGTATGTGTGTGTGTGTGTGTGTGTGTGTGTGTGTGTGGGCATCGACAAAATTGATGATGATTGGTGTGTGTGTGTGTGTGTGTGTGTGTATGTGTGTGTGTAGGGCTGGGGCATCCACAAAACTGATGATGATTGGTGTGTTTGTGCGTAGGGGTGGGACAACCACATATCTGATTATGATTGGTGTGTGTGTGTGTGTGTGTGTGTGTGTGTGTGTGTAGGGGTAGAATATCCACAAAACTGATGATGAATGGCAAGTGTTTATGTGTAGGGGTGAGACAACCACATATCTGATGATGCTTGGTGTGTTTGTTTGTGAGTTTATTAGGGAGACATCCACAAAGATGATGATGTTTGGCGTGTGTGTAGGGGTGGGACATCCACAAAGTTGATAAAGTGTGTGTGTGTGTGTGTGTAGGGGTGGGACAATCACATAACTGCTTATGACTGGCATGTGTGTGCAGGGCCGGGACAATTACACAACTGACGATGGGGTAAGCTAAATTATAGTATTTCAAAGAATAAACAAGATTATTTTGCTTACCCTATTAACAGATATTTAGTTTGTTTTAAGGAAAACGTCATTTTTATTTCTGATCACAAGACAACAAGTTTTGCTTATCTAGTTAATGCTTCTTGATTTATGAAGGTTTAGATATTTGGACTGGAAACAGGACAAAAACACAATAAAGAAAAGCATTTTTTTCTTACAGTGCACTCATTCCACAGCGGTATTGTTCTGATGCGTTTCCCTAAACTGACTTTGACACAGAGGTGTGTGCGTACCTGTTGTTTCGTTCTCTCTGTGCTGTTTGGCCGCAGGCTCGTCTGTCTCCCACGGCGTGGACTGGTTGATGGGTGTTTGGCCCCATCTCACCCCAGGAGCCAGCAGGAGACTGGGAGCCTGAGAATCACCCGGAGAAAGACCTGCCGCCTGCAGACACAAAACACACAGCAGATGAGTGACAGTGTGAGTGTGTGCGTGTGTGTGCGTGTATGCAGTGGTTTTGATGGTTTACATGATTACAAAAAAGAGAGAAAAAGTAAAATAAATAAATAGGTATCACATTTACTGTAACTTAAGCTTGTTTTTTTTTCAAGCATTTGCTAATTAATCTTAAAGCGACAAGTAATAAGCAATAAAATATGAAAACAATAAATAAAATTACAATAATATATAAATATAAATGAATAATAATTATACTAAATAATGATGATAAATAAAACATATTATATTAAATAAAATACCATATTGTAGCGGAGATATCTTAACAACATTCGAGCATTTTCAGACATTTAAATCCTCAAATCTATAAGAGGAATCAAAATTTTAATTATATACAAGTATCTGATTCTTTATCCAAGTACTCGATTCCAGAATCAGAATCAACTGTCGATTCCCATCCCTACAAATAACGCGGTTATAAATAAAATGTGTTACTAACATTTATCAATATATTATAATATATAATATATATCAAATATTTTTTCCAGAGATGGGTTGCAGCTGGAAGGGCATTCGCTGCGTAAAAAACTTGCTGGATAAGTTGGTGGTTCATTCCGCTGTGGTGACCCGGATTAATAAAGGGACTAAGCTGACAGGAAAATGAGGAAAAAAAGAAGAAGAAAAAGAAGAAGAAGAAGAAGAAGAAGAAGAAGAAAAAGAAGAAGAATACAATTAAATAAATAATATAAATAAATTAAAATATATTAAATAATATTGCATATTGTAGCTGAGATATTTGATGTAACATTCAAGTAAATTTCAGACATTTTAATTCTAAAATGTCCCTATAAACATTTTATGTTTTTACAATACAATTTTTAAACAATAAAAATATATTATAGTAAAATGTAAAATATTTTACAATTAATTTGAAATATATAATTCATAAAATAAAAATGCACAAAAATAATATATACAATTCTAAACAAAATATTTAAACATTTTTATGGGAAGTGTAAATAAAATAAAATAAAATAAAAATAATAAAATATTTAAACAAGTTTAAAATAAAAATACAAAAAATAAATAATCAAAATAATAACATACAAATAGAAGAATGCTTTAAACTAAGCTAATTTTCAAACATTTCACAATTAATTTTAAAGATACAATTCAATTCTTTAAATAATACAATGTAATATTAAATAAAATTAATTACACAAACAAACTAAACATTTAATTTTAAACATACAATTTTCAAGATACTAATATAATATAATATAATATAATATAATATAATATAATATAATATAATACAATATAATATAATATAATATAATATAAT